GACTGGAGTCAGGAGTTTGCAAGTTCTTAACTGCTTCTTCCTCTGAACTTAGAGGTCTGCAAGGATAGGTACAGGCAAATGCAGACACCTATTCCCCATCTGGCTGGCCAGATGCCAGTGCCATCTCAGCGCAGCACTGCCTAAGCTCTGCACCTCAGCAGAGGTTTTCAGGTGCTTATGGAGGCCATCAGGAGGTTGCCAAAGCAAAGCCTTGTAGGACAACCAAGGGATGCCTGTAAGCCTGAGAGTTGTGGCTGAATTTAATTTTGAGCCAGTGCTGCTCTCTGCTGAAAGGAATGCTCTTCTGGTTAAATCAAATATTAATACTTTTTGTTACTTGAAATTAAGCAAGCAACTGATTAAAACTCTTCTGCAAAAAGATAGCATGTGTACTGTTTAGATGATTTAGTTGAAATCTATGCTTTCTCTAAATAATACCAACTTTCCTGTTTGTCAAACCCAGACCATGCATAGTTGGGTGGGTGAGGATTTGCCAGCTAGGACAACTACGGCTTCCTCAGGGCCCGGTGAAGGAAACTTGGAAGAGAAATGTAAACAGGTAGACTAAAAGCCATGTGCACTAATCACACTAATCGTGTTTGCAGTCTCAACTCAACTGTCTAGCTGTGTAAAGAGACCTTGACTGGGAGCCTGAAAAAAGCGTGTCTGTCTGTGAAGTAATTTTTTGCTTTGGTGTGCTTTTCTGTTAACTCTCTTGTTATAGTCCCTCATAAGCAATCAGGTTATGAGGCCCTCTCCTTTTATGGGGCTGCCAGTGTTCTGAGCCCATTGCCAATAGAAGTTTGAGTAACTTGAAAATGGCTTTCATATAGCTCAGGCAACTAGCTGCTTATTCAGCTTGGTCTATTGGACCAGCGACAGCAGCAATCATGAGGCACTTGTATTAAGCTTAGGTCACTGACCACATTTCCTCTCTAAAATCAATGGATTTTTCCAGTTAGCCTTGATCTTTTTGCTTAATGAGCCTAAACCATTTCAAAGAGACTTTATTATAATTCAACCAAGTTGCAGAGGTTACAGATTTTGATAAATCTGGCCAACACCAACTGTCTAGGTGAAAACAAAAAACAAAGAAGTTGCTAAAGCATTTGTGTCCCTTTAGCAGCTGACACTGTTGCACAGCATGAATTGCATTGACCTAAGTGTGAAACTTTGGGAGCTGCTACCGGCTTGTGGAACCTGATCCCTCGCTGCATTGTTATAAGGAAAAAATGAAGTTACATAAGCAAATTATTCAAGAACCTGACGTGGAGCCAGACCCCGTCACTAGCATAGTCAGGTGCTGAAGTCACTGGAGTTTCTCCAGCTCAAGCCAGCAGAGAACTGCTTCATTAAGATTAGATAATCTGTAGGGTCTACGTTATATGTCACTGAAAGGAGATGGATTAGTGTTCCACACTAATGGTACAGCGACACAAAGGCAAGGGAAAATTCAGATATTACTCTTTCTTTAAACTGTGTATCATCAAGCACGAGTGTTGCATGAAGAATGTTTGTACATTGTGTACAGAAATAAGTTTTTTATTGCTTGTTTTAAATTTATCTACTCCTTAAGTAATCTAATGAAACAAGGGCCAAGATTTTCAGAAACGACCAGTGATTCTGAGATTATGAAAATGTCTTCTGGTTTGCCACAAGCTGAAAATCCACAGATTTAAAACTCTTAGAAACATTATCTGTAAAAGATGTCCTTTGGCTAGATAAATGTATGCTAGATAAATGAAACTTAGAGGATTATCAAGTGTGTCCAGATCTAACTATTAGACAGGTGTAGAAATGCTGCTCCTGATGCTCTTCATTACTGAAATAAAATTAACTGTATTAGAACTGGGAAGTATTGCAAGAGTGAAACTTGGAGCATGTTATAAACGTGATTTCAAGCTAGCATGGACCTTCCAGCTTTTGAGGTCAGTGGTAAGTGTTCTTGGTCTTATGGTAGCAGGGACCAAGACCCCTGTGTGTTAAGCAGGAGATCGTGGCCGAACTTTCAAATTTCAGGCCTTTGCCTGAAATAAACCTAGAAGTGCAGTTGGATGGCTGAGGACTATTTAAAAAGAACACAGCCAAGGTTAACCCACGTAGCTCTAGTGTTGCTTTTGAGAGCTTTACTGGAGCACCACTCCCAGGCTGTAGTAGTGCTTGGCTTTATTTCAAAATGCATAGACTATAGGTCTGCTTTTTTTCCAGGCCACATAACGTTGTAAGCATTGTGAACGACTGTTCAGCACTTCATTCAAAGCCCAATGACCTATTTGCAGGCAACAGCAAAGCTACTGAAGAGCACCGGGTACACAGAATACTGGCAGGCACTCCTAAAGACAACCTGTATTTTGTGCAAAGAGGGAGGGTGGACACAGTCCTGTTTACATTAAAGCCAAAACAAAAAAGTGGAACAAAATTGAAGTGACTTCTGGGAGCTGAAACTTCACTCATACTCCTGTAGTACAAGGTCTGTGCTATCAGTGTTTGTGTGTCAGGGTTAAACTGAACCAGTTAGATAACTCTCTGCTTCAAAGTGAAGCCACAGGATCGTAAAGTCCCTGGTGGAGCTATGGTGAAGACTTTGCTCAGATCTGTGAGATGCATCTTAGACCTCTCTGGCACACAAGAAAGGTACCTCTAGAACGTCACATCATAGAGTGCGTCTGCTCTTGTGCCTGTTTTGCTCTGTTCACATGGGAGGTCTCAAAGGATGACCTTATTTCTAACCCATCAATGGGAGATATGTGGGACAAAGGTATCTTAAATCCTTGGGCAGCTCCTGACTTACCAGTTGATACCTCCAGATGTTCTAGCCTGAGCAATCTCTCAACCTGGGAAACCTTCGTGATCAATTTTCCTGTATTTTTAATCTCAATGAATGAGATCTGCTTGTTCTGACACAGAAGATCTGCATGTCCACTTCCTAACCATCCAGGGTATGCATGCCATTCACAAATGGGAATGAACTTTGGTGTGACTTGTCACTTTGCATTCAGCTCAACATGCTGATTGTTGTTCTGAGATCTCTTGTTTGCAGTAATATTTTTATTGCAGAAAATACTATGCTGGTGAAAACTTAAAAGTTCTTGGATCAAAATGGACAGAAATACACGTCCTTGTTGGATACCAGGCAGGCTTCATGGCAGAGTTGCCCAAAACTTCAGGTCAGAGGAGGGTAGAGTATGGCATTAAGAAAGCCACGGGGAAATTATCTCCCCACTTCTTTCATCCTTAGATCTTTAGTGTGAAGTGAATAATGACATGCTGTGTTTCTGTTCAAGTCAGAGTTTTGACAGGAGGCAGCATGATCCATCTGGAATGAAGAGTCTGAAGACCTGTTCACTGCAGTCCTTGGAAGCCTGTTGAGTGTTGTGTGCCTCAGTTTCTTTGTTGGCCATATGAAAAGGATGTTACTTACTTAAACTTTCATGGATGGAAAATGTTTTTATATACAAAACTGTTACTGCAAATTGGGGCTGATAGCAGAAGGAACAGTATAGCTTGAATTGCAATTTGCCCGCTGAAACAATGAGGTACTTTGATTCTCCTCCGCTATGAAAGGGTTTTTGTGTCCCCAAGTTCATCATCTGCTAAAGGATTCCACTTCACAGGGAACTGCAGATACACTTAATTATCGCAACTTTACAAACACATTACTTACTAAAAACTCCTCCTTTGAATTGATGAGAACAATGAATGTAGAGTTATTGCCACAGCAGTGAATTATATTTTTACCCTCTTTAAAGTTCTTTCTAAAATATCTTAAAAATGAAAA